TTATGGTAAAATTGACCCAGGAACAATTTTCACTTAATGAGATGCCGTGAACGAAGTCACGAGGCATCCATTTGTCACGAGACCGGAACCCAGGTCCATGACGTAGAACTGAGACTAGTAAGTAAGTATGAGGTAGTGGTGACAGATATCGTGGGTATGGGAATGCGTAAGGATGATGTAATGGGTGAAGATGCTGTGGGTGAGGTCATGAGAATTGGCTATTTAAGAGGAGAAGGTAGGAAATTTGTTCTCCCTCTTTTGTCTTTGCTGCTAGCTCGACATAAGTCTAGCTTTGTCGTTGACGCCACGTGGTCAAATACAAACGAAGGCAGAAGTGTGAATAATGGTATTAGTAGAAGATGAGGATGGTGTCCGAGGGGCATTGCCAGTTGTGTTGACCCTGGACATTAATTTGGGGAATGATCCAGAAGAATGGCATCAGGGGTTAAAGAATACACTGGACCGTTTGCCAGTGGAGACGTTGAAGTCACTATGTAGCGGTGAAGGTTTGTTGGAGGTGGGAGCTAAAGAAGAATTGATTGAGAAATTAGTAGAGAGTGTGGTTAGTGAAACGAAGGAAAAAGGTAGAGTGGTGAATAGTGGTCGCAAGATGAATGCATGGGAAGAGAGAAGCGGTTTTGGTTTAGATGGAGTGGCAGACAAAGGTAGTTTTGGACAGAGGGCGGTAGCTGGTAAGGGAAATGCTGGAGTGCAAGAATGGGTGACACAGGATTTGCAGTTTCTAGCATTGGAACGGTCTTTAGAAAGAGCGATACGACCGGCGGTAGAAGGGGCTGTAGAGGAAATTAAAAGGAAGGTTCAGCCGATGTATAACGGTGAGGAGAGTCGATATTGGCCCGATATAAAGTTGAGTAGAACTAGGGATCAATTCGAATATGATGAATGGTGCAAGATTGGGCGGTATGTGGATAGTGCGATGGTGAACAGGGATTGGAATTTGATAGATAAAGCGCGAGATGTGGCAGCGACCAGGGCATTTGTACTGAGAGTTGCGGATAGAGAAGGTTGGGATGTGGCTGCGGAAATAAGAGACCCTTTAGACGAGGACCCCATGGAAGCTTTTTTTAAAGAAAAGCTGGTGAATGCCAGGCAGTCAGCGGAGAATAAGCGTCTAAGGGCAGAGGAAATAGGAGGTTTGTCATCGAACCAAACTTTGCAAGGGTCTTTGCCGGGTCAGCAGTACTTCCAGCAATCGTTTCAGCCGTATTTTGGTCCAGATGGGGTACCTTTTTATGGTTATGCGGTACCACGCATGAGGACCTATCAGGATTGGTATGAGAGCCAGAGAGGTCCGTGGAGTCGGTATTGAATTCTTCGAAGAGATCCTAGGCCATATTCAGTCATACTGTATTCATGGTAGTGGAAGGGTGTGTTTTGAGAGGTCATATAAGGTATAAGAATTTGAGTCTATGCACATAAAGTTAAGAGACACAATGCGATTCTCTTGATGATCCCATATGTGTATTTCATGTCATGTGCGCCGTATGTAGGTCGAGGGACAAATGGGCGGTTGCGATTTTATTAGTAAAATTATGAGTAATTCCGGCCTAATTTTTTGATCGTCGCTCTTAGCCAATCAAAATCGAGGATCTGCCGCGCTTTTTTTGTGCGGCACCTAGGTTATCAAAGTTATTGGCGAGGTTTGTCAAGGTTTGACCATTGATGGTATGATTTCACTTTAATACATTATTTAAAATTTATTATTCGCTTATCATTTATATTTTTTATAGGTGGAAAAATAAATATAATACACATCATTTGGCATAAAATGCCCATGGACAAGATTCAGACATTCTCTTCTAAGTATGAATACGCGTTAACGGACCTGTTTGTTCCAGAATTATCAGGAGAACATGCAAAACCTATCCTCGATGGTTAACTCGCATCATGATCAACAACCAAACTATAAATTACTTCCACTTCTTGCATTTACTAGACTGTCTTGGTGTGTTTAATACATTCTTCCAGATGGTCAAACAGGAGGTATTGGAGAAGCTCGTACGCCAGTGATATTACTTGAGCAAATCTATTTGGTTTTACATTATACAGTCGCACCCCCTAATTGCACACCCCTAAGTGCAAGTACTATGTAAAACCTCTCTAAATGCATGGCAAACACCCTCTAAGTGCAAAATTTTAATTTTTTTCACTATGGTCCCGATGGGATGCACACTGGGTGTGATTGTATTTGGCTTTTTATTTTTTCGGTTTATCGAGAGTTGGATATTGGTTTCGTATTTGTCATTTCAGCACAATCGATATTAGATTGTTATGTTTTTCATAAAATCATAATGGGATGAAAGTATTAACTGAAGATGAAACGATGAATACAGAATTTTATGTTTAACAAATTAATTACTGAAAGAGACGTTACTGAAAATAGTCTAATGGGATCGTTGGTTTGTAGAATGATTTCTGGATTTACGTGTGGATTAAATTATCAAATCGAACATCATATAAGTACAATTATTCATACTAGCCCTTTTTGCAATTGTTTTTTTTAACTTTTAATTTTTCTTGAATGACATTAGAAATTTCAAACCATACTGCGGCATTATTTTCATAAATTTCATCAATCATTCAATCTTTATATGCAGAATGCAATATACATTACATAAAACTACGTTCAGTATGCTTTTAATAGATTAGGTCAAGTTTCATATGCAAATGAAAAAAATGAGTTAAGAGAATACTAATAAAATTACAAAAACAAAATTAGCAATTATGCTAGTATAAATATCGTAATAAATTATGATGTATTTAGTTTTTAGGTTTAAAAAACAAATATTTCCATGCCACTCACATACAATGATTATAAATGAAGTTCTATGGAACTAATAAGCCAACGGAATTAGTACCATTCAGAGATCTTTGAATCCATTGCCAACCCTGCCTGTAAGTAGCGCTCGGATTTATAAAATCTTTCTAATAGATTAGTTGGCAGCCTTAGTTGATTATTTGCAACTAATACGATAGTTAAATATTTGATTGGCTTTAATAATTATGATATGTTTTCATACAGTATTTAACTAATTGAATTAATTAATTTTTAAATTTACTATGTACAATCAGTTAAGAATTTTCCCATCGATTAATGTCAATTGGTTTGTTTTTTAGTTAATTATTTGGAGTAGTTGATATTCTCAACAAATAATCTACCACATTAGTAAAATTTGACATTTTTAATAACGCGTAACTATAAATCACATAACCAGGCGATCATAACCACTACAATAATTCTATCCTTGGCATGGTTATATATATATATATATACCGTACTATATCACTATATTTGTATGCAGCAAATATGGGATCTTTGCTAGGAAAATCACCCTTCGGGATTTTCCGATCGGGCTAATTCGGAAAGGTTTAGACCAGAATGCCAGTTCTTATTCATATGTAAATCACCTTTTGCTAT